GATGATGCCCAGCATCACTGCCCCGCGCATGAGGCATCTCCGTACGCCCATCTCTGTCGGGAGGAGAGGTCAGAGGTCACGCGGATCGGGGCACATGGGAGAAGAAAGTCACAATACCGTGGTTGCAACAGTTTATAAGCCACAATACCGTGGTTGCGTCAATTCACACGCCACAGTAAATTAGACACATGTGCAACTCTTGGGTATCTTTATTGAGGAAACGTTTCGCCACACAGTGGCTTCATCAGTCCATACATAGGAGAAACTTGAAGAACAGGAGGAGAATGAGGTAATCAGTCCCTCAACCTTGAGTCGATGTGTTCAGTCCATCAATCTTGAGTAGAATACGGCAGATGAGCGGAGAAGCAGCTTATAAACCGTATGGCAGGAGAGGTGCAGCAGTCATAGGTGGTGTCACATTTGTTCAATGTGGAAGTAGGTCGTGCCCAAGAATTAGGCAAGCGAAGAATTACTGATGAAGCCACTGTGTGGCGAAACGTTTCCTCAATAAAGATACCCAAGAGTTGCACATGTGTCTAATTTATCAACATGTCGGTTCTCTGAACCATTCATCTACAAACACACCACAGTACCGTGGTTGCATCAGTTCACAAGTCACAATACCGTGGCCCCTCAAGGAAGGTTCCTTGATGCTGGCGAGGGGCTCTTGATCTAGGGAATTGGATCTGTTCTCCAGTTCCCTGAATTAAACCTGAATACCTTCCACATTCCCCCTCAGGCGCTATATAATCCTACGGGTTTAGCGCTTCCCCCTTATAATAATAATAATAATACCGTGGCTGCAACAATCACAAGCCAAAATACAACTGACTAAAGGAAACTCTAAATAACATTTCGGACCTCCCAGAACCATCACCAAGGCGTTTCTATCCATCCCGAGAAAATGTGACAGGAGGGACCGAGAGGTCCTGGCAATGGTCCAAGAGTGGCCCAAACCTCCTGATAATGGTCCAGGAGAGACCGAAAGCTTTGTCTAGAAAGCCTATCACCATTGTGAGAGCAGACATACTGTTGTTGGTTGATGACTGGGTTGTGAGAGCAGACATACTGTTGTTGGTTGATGACTGGGTTGTGAGAGCAGACATACTGTTGTTGGTTGATGACTGGGTTGTGAGAGCAGACATACTGTTGTTGGTTGATGACTGGGTTGTGAGAGCAGACATACTGTTGTTGGTTGATGACTGGTTTGTGAGAGCAGACATACTGTTGTTGGTTGATGACTGGGTGTGAGAGCAGACATACTGTTGTTGGTTGATGACTGGGTTGTGAGAGCAGACATACTGTTGTTGGTTGATGACTGGGTTGTGAGAGCAGACATACTGTTGTTGGTTGATGACTGGGTTGTGAGAGCAGACATACTGTTGTTGGTTGATGACTGGGTTGTGAGAGCAGACATACTGTTGTTGGTTGATGACTGGGTTGTGAGAGCAGACATACTGTTGTTGGTTGATGACTGGGTTTGAGAGCAGACATACTGTTGTTGGTTGATGACTGGTTGTGAGAGCAGACATACTGTTGTTGGTTGATGACTGGTTTTGTGAGAGCAGACATACTGTTGTTGGTTGATGACTGGGTTGTGAGAGCAGACATACTGTTGTTGGTTGATGACTGGGTTGTGAGAGCAGACATACTGTTGTTGGTTGATGACTGGGTTGTGAGAGCAGACATACTGTTGTTGGTTGATGACTGGGTTGTGAGAGCAGACATACTGTTGTTGGTTGATGACTGGGTTGTGAGAGCAGACATACTGTTGTTGGTTGATGACTGGGTTGTGAGAGCAGACATACTGTTGTTGGTTGATGACTGGGTTGTGAGAGCAGACATACTGTTGTTGGTTGATGACTGGTTTGTGAGAGCAGACATTACTGTTGTTGGTTGATGACTGGGTTGTGAGAGCAGACATACTGTTGTTGGTTGATGACTGGTTTGTGAGAGCAGACATACTGTTGTTGGTTGATGACTGGGTTGTGAGAGCAGACATACTGTTGTTGGTTGATGACTGGTTTGTGAGAGCAGACATACTGTTGTTGGTTGATGACTGGTTGTGAGAGCAGACATACTGTTGTTGGTTGATGACTGGTTTGTGAGAGCAGACATACTGTTGTTGGTTGATGACTGGTTTGTGAGAGCAGACATACTGTTGTTGGTTGATGACTGGTTTGTGAGAGCAGACATACTGTTGTTGGTTGATGACTGGTTTGTGAGAGCAGACATACTGTTGTTGGTTGATGACTGGGTTGTGAGAGCAGACATACTGTTGTTGGTTGATGACTGGTTTGTGAGAGCAGACATACTGTTGTTGGTTGATGACTGGGTTGTGAGAGCAGACATACTGTTGTTGGTTGATGACTGGTTGTGAGAGCAGACATACTGTTGTTGGTTGATGACTGGTTTGTGAGAGCAGACATACTGTTGTTGGTTGATGACTGGGTTGTGAGAGCAGACATACTGTTGTTGGTTGATGACTGGGTTGTGAGAG